AAATTGTGAGTAAAATTTTGGAAAATTGAGTTTCTTATATTTTTGTGAGGAAAGAAGGCGCTTTGTCAATTTTTCCTTCTTATGGTAAAATTTTGATTTTAAATATCGAAAAATCAGTGTTTTTTCCATTTTTGTAGAGAAACTAGGCGCTTTGTCAGCTTTTCTTTTTTGTAATACAATTTTCATTCAAAGTATTGAAAAATTGGGAACTTAGACATTTGGGCAGCTGGAGTACTTTATTTTGGGTCAATTTTTGAAATAATTTAATTAGAATAATTTTTAGACGAAATGCAGATGAAGATGGAAGGGTTGATAAGTAAAAAAAGATTTGTAAATTCTTTATTTTCTCATTGTGAATGTTTATCACTAAAAAAAAAATGTAGAAAACCTGGGATTCCCATTTTTCACCAATATTCGCGGCAATTCGAAATTTTCACGGAATTAATGCGAAGCGTGTCGAAAAATGCCAAATTATTTGTGGAAGCGCAGGGCTTGTTATTACTAACACAATGATCGCGATAATTTCATGAGAACAATTTTAATCCTACTAGAAGTACGCGTTAGAGCTAAAAAAAACAAATCGAAAAAAAGGAACTGAAATATCTAGAGAAACAGAGTTTTTTATTTTGCAATATTGCACAGAATTTTCTCAGAATAATTTCGAGCTTGCAAGAAGTGCAAATTGAAAAACTGCTAAATCTGAAGAATCAGCGATTCTCATTTTCGAGCTTCCTCCTCGAAAATAGCCAAAAATGAAATATTTCATCTACCAGATACTCTTGTTTTCATCCGAACACCTCGATAATTTATTCCACTTCCAATATATACGTAACCACTTAGCCTACCCTTATACTCAAAATTCATTATTCCATCAAATTTGGCAACAAAAAATGGAATATTCCATTTAACCCTTTCGTGACCAATGAAACCTATGTCTCACTTGAGTACTCGACCAAAAATTCATCTCAATTTAATACCCATTACAGACACTACAATTGGTAGAAAAGTAAGAAAAAAGAAATAATTTGGTCACGAAAGATTAAAAAAACAAAATTGACTTTCTCAACTGCAAAGAAATTATTGCCACCATTTTACGTCTCTTTTGCAACCGTACAATTTCTTCGTTTAATATTTTCACTTGTTACTTGAAATAACGGAAATATTTAAGGTGGACAAAATTGACGAGACACCCTGTATATATCTGTATATGAAAGTTTAGCTGGTGAAAAGAGAACGTTTGATGTGTGCTGTATATCCGGTGCAGTTCGACGAATTAAAGCTGTCGAGCTCTTTTGGAACGATTAAGTCTGCCCACACAACATCGTGTTCCACCGGAAATCCGCGGCAATCCGATTGTCGCGTTGCCAAAGAAACAATTACGACGACGGATTCAATGTTCGTTCGGTGAGAATTCGTGTGTACGTACACACTTTTGTTAGTATTTCGTGCATTGATGGCCCCTGACTGATGGATTTGATGATTCTGTATGTTTGCCTTTGTGCTTCTTCTTTGATCTGGATGAAATTGTTCGTCTGATTTAAGGTACGATAAAAATCGTATCTTAATTTTAGTATCTTGGTCTTATTTAGCAAGAGAGTATATATGTCGGTGAAATTGTCGAAGATTTATCGTCGAGTTTAAATTCTAGAGGATTATTAATCTCGTTTCATCTGATCGAAGGGGTGGCTAAAAAATTGCGAAAGAGATTTCTGAATATTTTCTAATTTTTGAATAACAAGTGAGTCATAAAATTTAAACGTCATCACTCTGGAAAAATGGTTCTCGACATCTACTAAACGTTGTTTAACACAATTTTCGAACATAGTTTTTCAATATAAAATGTAAATAGTAGAGTAACAGTAGAATGTCAAAATCTGAACGCGAATATTCAAAGAAAAAATTTTTAAGCTGAAAAACCCGACCAGAAACAAAGATCGAAAATCAAACTTGACATTTTATTTTATTTATTTGTTTCCACGTGCACGGATTCGTTCCTGTACAAAATAAAATACACAGAGCGCAGACGAAATATAGATAGTTGCAAACAAAAAAGAAGAAAAATCGAATAAAAACTCAAATTGAATCAGTCGCGATAACAAGAATAGTAATCGGCGAAACAGGCGAATAAAAACATTTTGATGATACGCGCAACAGTATTAATGCAACTGCAAACATTGTAGACGATTACAACAGAGTTAAATTATTACCGGGAACTATTTATTTTCGTTGGATGTTTGTTCGCGATGAAAGAACATAATTGAAAATCGCGAATCAGGGGAACAAGGGAGCCTCTGTCCAAGTGAATCCGTAGGATCGAAATCGATTGATCGAGCCGCGTTTATTTATAGGATAAAATGGAGCACAGTTTCTCCAAGCCGGGGATTACATTATTCGTTCAATGAATCGGATCAACGTGAACGCTACTGAGCGGCTCGTTTGTTGCCGAGTCGCTACCCACGTGCTTGGAAACCGGCCTGAATAGAACTATTAAATCGCGTGCATTAACTCACGTTACGATTTCGTCACTGTGACACGGTTTAAGATGGCTACGCTCGTTTCACGTGAGAGAGACCGCGGAGGAAACGAAGGGTTGAGAGCTCCCCTTCTCGTCAGTTTCAAGGCAGATATGTTCGGTGACGAGGGTGGAATATGAATTCCCAGACTGAAATATTTTATTATAATTTACATTGCAGAACGAACTTCCACCATTTATATTCATGATTTTTCACGTATTTTTCTTTCTTCTGTTGTTTCAAGTTTGAGGAATAATTGAGGAGAAATTGAGTGAAAGGGTTGGGTTTGATTTACTTAAATATTGAGAAATGTTTATAATCTAATATAAGCAGATTTTTACTTTATCGTGGAAAGAATTTTTATCATTTATATTCGTGATTGTTTTACGTATCTTTGTTTGTTCTTTCAAGTTTGGGAAATAATTGAAGAGATGATTTGTCAATTTTCATTTGTCGTTACAACTGAAATTTATTCATTTTTGAATTTTATGATTTCCACGATTATGAGTTCGTCAAACTACACGATAATTTCTCAGTCACATCAGTCACATAAATTTTGAATAAAAGAAATCTGACATGCGTCTCAGTAGCAAATTCTTTAATCCACCGTAGAAAATTGACCGCGATCCTGTTTCGAATTACCTTTCCGACGAACCGAGTAGAAGGAAAATGTATCGTTGCAACGATGCTGAGGCGTTAAACGTCAAAAGCAATAAAGTTCGAAGAGTGGTCGCCACTCACCGAGCATCAGGTACATGGAGCAGAAGATGAAAGATAAATCGAGGCCCTGTGCAGCGTAGATTTTGTCGCCTGGCACTATGTCGCCGAAACCGATGGTCGACAGGGAGACGAAGCAGAAATAAGAACCATCCAGCATGTTCCAGTCCTCCCATTCGGAGAACAGGATCGCTCCCGCCCAAATATACCTGAAAAAGTTACACGGGATTACGATTTTTCTCAATGTTAAATTAAACATCCCCTTCTCCACTCAGAATTTCGAATTGTTTCAATAATTCCGCGTTCGTTCATTTTTACGATATTTCCAGAATTTAGAACTTTTCCTTTTTTTCCTTTGCCGCTTCGAAGTCTCAAACCACCGAAATCTCATCGATGGATTCGAGGGTAAGAGGAATTTAGTATTGGTAACGCGAGATAAATTCGGAATGAAAGTTATAGCACAGTTTATAGAAATATTCATTTCAATTTCATCGAATCGTTGCTTCTCTCATAAATTGCATTTTCCTCCCAAAAATGTATCATTGGCTTGAGAAAACTTATAATTGGGGGAACACTAATTAGTACAATTACTAATTGGGTCAAAGATATAATGGAATAAAATGTTGAAAAAATGTGAAACAAAGGTTGTTTCTCTGAACCGAGAAAATGAGTGAAATTCGTTTGAATTTACAAATTGAATTCTCGTTTTTACACTGAAAAAGGGTTAATTTGTGATTAATAAGTTTATCGTGTAAACAGAATTATATAGCGGTTGTAATTGAGGGTTCATTTGTTTGGAAACGTATCTAATCGCGAGCTGATCGATTGTTAACAATACTCACCCAACCATAATGGCGACACAGAGTGTCAGAGGCACCGTGACGCGTTGTGGATCGTAGCTGCTACTGTCGTCGTCCTCGTCGCTTCTGTCAGTCTCTTTCGATCCGTCCACTTCGAAGGAGATCTCCTTGTCCACGCTGATCGTGTCGATTTCCCTTCCGTTTACATCGACAAACTGTCGAGAAATATTTTTAGAAGTAGTACATCGTGCAGCGTGAAATGTTGAAGTTTTTAAACATTGTAAAAGATGAATGAATCGAATTTTTCAAATTGGAACAAACATTACTCTTTGATTCCTCAACAGTAACGTATCGAAAATTGTAGGAAATAAAAAGAGAACTTTATTAATCTCAAATTAAAATATTTAAGAAATTATTATACAGAAATTCTTCATTTAAAAAAAAATTTCATTCAGAACATTTGTGGACATTTTAGTTTGGAATAATTAGAAATTTATTTGGAAACGTCGAATCTTTCTTCAAACCTTTATTTAGAAAATTTAGGAAATCTTAGCGCAGAAAATTCACAGAATTCTGTATTTATACTTTGGAAATTAAAATTCCAAATTTCAGTTAAATTGAAATGAAAATTTTCTTACTTTCATCTTCAAGTTTCTATCACAGAATATTCGCAGACTTCAATATTTACACCTTGTATTAAAATTCGAAGCATTCTCCAACAAAAAGTTTCTTCTCTTATTTTCCACGTACACTCACCTGCCAATGATTTCTCCTAACATCAGCGTCGCCATACTTGTTTCCCCTATTCGGTACTTCCACTGGTCTTCTTCGACATCTTAAACAAAGAACACTCTGTAACGCTGAAGAAATTTCGACGATTCTGTATTTCCAATTTCACTCGTCGTTAGACGTTAGAACAACAATAGTTTCACGCGAAGATCTATCGAGATAAGAGAAAGAAGAAGAAGGCTTACTTGCAGAGACAGCAGCGAGCGTAAATCCATTTGAAGCTCTTCGCGAGAATGTCACCGATGTTGCTCAGATAAAGCAAGAAAAGTGGCAAGCCTATTATAGCGTACACTATGGTCACCATTTTGCCCCATTTCGTCTTTGGACAAATGTTCCCGTAACCTGTGAACCGAACAGCCGCCATTTGACTATATCTTCGTCCATTTTAAATCGTATTAAAATAACTGTCTGTCGTAACACTCTCGAAAATATTCGAACACAAACCATTAAACGCGATGCAGGTAAAAGTATTCACATTGAGTATTTAAAATAACATGAATATTCAAAATATTCACTTTGGCTAAATGCTGAGAGAATACTGGTCTCTTCACCTTCCAACTCTCCTGCATAGTCACAACCCAAAGGCCATCTTCGCTAAACCCTTAACCCTAGTGCGTTCTTTCGTTCGACTTGAGGTTTTCGGGTCTTTTTTGACCCAAAGGTCTTAGGTGTAACAATTTTTGTTACCAGCACGCCATATGAACTTAGGTAATGAACTTTCGATGTAATGTTAAGGGAACACAAATTTGATAACAGCAAAAGTAATTAAAAAGATCAGAAGGCGACGGGTCAAAAAAGACCCGAAGACCGCTCTAGGGTTAAGTAGCCCTATTTTATCCATTTCCGCGTTCATTCTCTGTTTTACCACGCGCACGCCACGTAACGTTAAACCTCTGTCAAATAAAGTTCTGTTTCTACGCAACGACGATCCTTAAGTCTTTTAATTCAGTGTAAATTTGTACTTGTAATCGATATAGATTGCTAATATTAATCTCATTAAATAAAGAAATGTTTCTACTTTCAAAGTCACATTTGGTTTTTGTAATACGTAAATGGGTAACTTGTTGAAATTTTACAGCATTTCTTGCTTATGCAGCCGGAATTACCTCGCTCTCCCCTACACGGTCAAAACAAAATATTTTACGGCTACAATTGAACACCTACAGGGTGTCACCCGCGTTACGTATTAAAATCTGCCGTGGCGAAAGGATCAGCCGTACCATTACACATACTCTGTAGATGCAAAAAAATACTCCACAATGCCAGCAAAAAAGAATAAAAAGAAAAAAATTGAAAAAATTCAACGAAAACTTCAACTAAGAGAAAAGACCCCTCGTTCCATTCGTAATTCCGCAACACCTCACCATCGAAGCATTTTAATTAAACCACCGTTCGTCAACGATCATCAGTCACCGGCACAGCGGCCACTGTAAAAAGAAAGGAATGCTCGATCGAGCGTAGGTTCCGCACCACCAGCGATATTAATTACTTAATCGACTATAAGTTTCCGTCGACCGTTCGACACTCGAGCATCGTAAAGATCGCGATAGAAAAGGGGGTGGGACGGTGTGGGAGGGAGGAGAAGGAAGGAAGAACTCGAAAGTTCTTCCGGCAATATCGCGGAAAATCATTTTCCAAGCGAGTTTCTTCGAGCGGTTTTTACGAGGACCACGCCGCATAGAGCTGGCCCTTCCGTGAGCCTTACTCCGCCGAATTATGGATCGTATTCGCGGGATTACGGGCGGAAAGGATCGTGAATATCGAGGACCGGCTGTTAAAATTGTTTACTGCCCCTCTGCCACCCCCACTCCCTCTTGGCTTCCGGAGGCCGACGACCAGATTGCTGCTACCACTTTTCAACTCACCCCGAACGAGGTTCCCTTCCTCTTTTCGTTGAAACAATCCAACGAATTGTACGAATTGTATGATTTTAGTGTGTTGTTCTGTGGTTTTTGAATACGTTCGCTGTCTGCTGAATTATACAGGGTGATATAAGAATGTAAAAATTTATACAGGGACTTATAGCAGTCACTTAGAGGAGTGAAAAAGTCTAGTCAATCTTTGATATTGTTTATATATACACATACAAAGTGTGCATTAAAAGTGTATGTAAATAGTGTAAATAGTAAGTTCGAATATTATTCAGGTAAATTTATTAAATTTTCCATTTCTAATGTCACTTGAAGGTCATTTCAAAGTCACGAGTGAAACATATTCAATAGTAAATGCAATGAAAAAAAAAACGTGTTTTCCACATGAAAAATAACAATGACCATGAAAAAACCAAGGAAAATTCTTTCCCCAGATTATTCCTCGTTTCAAACAATCAATATTATGCCACAAATATTTTTCACATCACAAAAAACGAAGGAAATGTTTTGGTGGCCTGCTTCGACCGGGACACCCTTGTATATGAAAAATAAAATATGAAATATGTATAATGAAATTTAGACGACTTTGGAGAACAATAGACACAATATAGGCAATTCTCTCCTAACTTATTGAAAACAATAGCATCCACAGCGGTAGCATCGTAAATTTTCAGAAAATAAATGAAATTGTATTCGTTGTCACCTGTGTTGAAAATAAAAAAATTCCACCTAACCTAGAAGTCAACGATTTTAAAATTAATAAATTAAAGTTATTGGGTTTTCAATTTTGTCCCGTTGGATAAAAAACTGACGGAGCATTTAAAAAATTAACAATTTTAAAATTAATAAATTAGTTATTGGATTCTCAATTTTGACCTATTGTACAAGAAAGATTGTTCATCACTGAGATAAAACATTAAAAATGACTCGTGAAAAACGAAAAGAACAGTATCTTTCGTTGCCATAATGGCGACTTCCTTCCACCAAGATGGCGGCGTTCGTAAAACCGGCACTCGGTTCGAATCCCTCGAATATCTTCCTTCCCGATGGAAGTTCTGCGAAAACAGCGATGAAGAAGATGAAACGACGCGTAGAATTCGACGAGGCACGAAAAACTCGGCGTTCGCCATTTAAAAATCGCCGCTCGCTGAATAAACGATGCGTCCTCGACAGTTTCATTTTTCTGGCTGTTGTTTCTTTTCTTTTTTTTTTTCTTTTTTTTTCGAAATATTTGCGACCACGGCGGATTGCCGCGATTAATAAAGCATAGAAGCCTCGTTCGTTCGTTTCGTCAATTCTTCTTTTCTTTTTTTCAACTTTCCTCTCTTTTTCTCTGTTCGTTGGAGCGCGTGTGCGTGCGAATGGAAAACATCGATATCTCGAACGAGTTGGAGGAGGAGGAGGAGGGCCAATAAAACCGCCCTCCCCTTTGGATTATTTTCGCTCCGCGCCACTTTATTATAATTTATCGACGATTCACGGCACGATGATTTGCTTAGCGCCGCGCTTTTCGTTTCCGGTGCACGAAAAGTGGAGAACGACACGTTCGGCTAGAGTGATTCAGTTTCGAGTGGTTTGAAGGTGAAGTAGGTTGAAGTGATAAAAGTGTATGGGGTTGTTTAAGTAGAAGAAATTTACTTCTAAATAATCGCCTTCAAATTCTTAACAAATTCTCCCCGTTACTGTATCCTTATATACCTTATCTTATATTTATAAAATGCTCTACTTCCTCAGATTAGTAAGATCATCTATCCTAATCTGGAATCCCAAAGCTTCTTTATACGAATTCGCCATAGTGCAAACAATTTTTCTCAATTTCCTGTTGAATAATCCCCGTGGAATTAATTTTTAAAATAATCATACTGTCAGACTGCGAGAACACATTACTCAGGCTAAGCAGCGTCGCGGTAATTAAGAATGTCGAAGAAGGAAAGGAATGAAAGAATAACGGCTCGTTATCGCGAGTAACACGGGTACTATCAGGGATTATTAATAAATCGCCAGGCAAATAAAGTGAACCGGTCGCGAATTATCGAGCGTGTCGCGATTAATCTTGATAATTGATTGGTTGGCCCACGGCGAAATTACCGCTCCTGGTTATAACGAGCGGCCTACCTACCAAGACACATCGGTTTCCGTACTTTTGGTTAATCGCCAATAATTCCTTCGCGTCGCGTTACCCTGTCACTAATGTCCTCGATCCGTCAATGAGGACCACACCATGCTGATTACGAGGATCCTGAATGATTAATGCGTTTCGTATTGGTTCACGAAGTTCGTGCAGGCAACCCTTTGACGGCTGTAACGATTGTAAGCTGACCTGCTAATTCAGATTCTATTTCCGGTCTGGTTGGAGGTAGCGTGAGATGAATGAGGAAAATGTACTTATTACGGTTGTGGTGGTTAAGAAAAGAGCACTATGGGGATGTTATTGTAATATGTAGGAAATCGTTTGAGTGTTTAAATGTGGTAAAGTGGCTGAGTAATTAAGTACTCAGATTGGTAAGTGGATAGGCTCGTGAGTACTTAAGAATTGAAGGATTCGAGGGTTTGTGGATTCAAGGTTTTCAGGATTTGTGGACTCAAGTACTTGACGATTCAACGACTCAAGCACTCAATAACTTAAATTAATTTAAAGACTTAAATGTTGGGGTGTTCAAGAAGTGAAGGACTCGAGCATTTAAGCACTCAATGACTTGAGAAATCAGAGACTCAAATACACTAGAAGTCAAGGATTCGTGTAATTTAATACTCAATGACTGAAGAACTCAAGGCTTTAAGGACTGAAATACTCCAGGACTCAGATATTTAAATACTCAGTCTCTCAAAGACTGAATAATTCAACGATTAAAGAACTCAGTAATTCAGTAACTCGAAGACTCAATAATTCAATGACTCAACGACTGAAGAACCCAAGGCCTAGAGGAATGAAGTACTCTAGAACTTAGGTACTTAATCACTCAAGTACTCAATGACTTAAGAACTCAAGGATTCAAAGACTTAAGCATTCAACAATTCAAGCACTCAAGGGTTCAATGGTTCAATTACTCAACAACTCCAACTCTCAAATATCCAAATATTCAATCACTTACCGATTCCACTACTTTCATCTTCGAATCCTCCAACACTCCTACATCTCAATATCCACTTACCAAACCAGACTGAAACATCCACTCTTCCTTCGCCAACAGCAAATCATCCCCGCAATCTCAAACCATCGGAACATCTCCAAGATTCGGCATACAAAAAGGACGAGGAAAGAAAAGGGAAAAAAAGAATCCAGCTATCAATTCTAGCTATCGTAATCCCATCGTACCCCTAGCTTCCACTTCGTCAGTGTTCGTAAGTTCCCGTGGCCTCGAATTTTCACGCGTTCCAAAAGCGGTTATCGTTAGCCCGGCTAGGGTCGGCCTCGCGAATCGATCTGCCCGTCGACTAGCCGACCCTTTTAGGCTGATGCTGCTGGCCTGT